GGGGGGGGTTGGGGGGCTTGAGGTTTTTTTGTGGTTTTGTTTTTTTTTTTTGTCTGAGGGGTTTTTTTTTGCTTTTTATTTTTGATTTATTTTTTTTTTTTTTAGGTAGAAATGTAATTTCACCTTGTAGTCATCAGTTTAGTAGTCTTCTATCTTGATGATTTGTCAGTTGTTGACCTGGGCTACAGTTAATCCACAAGCAACTGCTAACACTTACTAATTGCTTTTCATGAGACAAACTTTTAAAATCCTTTAATAAATAAAGATTGATTCAGCCTTTCATTATTCTTAGATGTGACCTTAATGCATGCTTTACAAATGTGAATTTGCAATACTAAAAAATAATTGGAAAAAATCACAATACATTAATAGCAAAGAAAAGGACAAGATTCTCTTGTGTTTCTGTGAATGAAATAAGACTCTCAAGGCTGGAGATGAGGATTTTAAAAGATAATCTTGTACTAATACTATAGTATGCTAAGTAATTGATGAGGTAATACAGGCAAAGAAACTGACCTTTCCTTAATCGTTGTAAGAGCAATTCAGGATCATCTTGTGTCTAGCACGGCTACGTGTGTGTCACACACAAATTGTGATCAGAATTGAATAATGGAAGATAAAGCACCTAAACCAGGACTGACATTAACACTGAAAGCCAGGGCTTCCCAGCTGTTAACCTCAGCCACTTTCAGTACTTTTAAAGGCTAAAAATTATCTCAAAATTAGTTGAAAGTCTAATATTGTTTGTAAGCAGCATAAACAATAATCCCAGCTCCATAGTGGAGACTTTAGGAAGTAATGTTATTTGATTTTAAAAAAAAGCAACAAACAAACCAAACCAAAACACCAAAACCCCCACAACACTATCAGAGCCTGAGGTCATTCAGTTACCATTCTCAAAGAAGACAATGAAAAAAAGAATGGCAGATTCCAAAAAAGAAACACAAAAATGGCATGCGTGAATAAAAGGAAGTAATTGATTTAATCAGTCCCCTTGACTCTCAACAGATATTTGGTATTAAAATTCCCTTTGATACAATCAGAAGAAAATAATCAAATGCAGTGTGCAACCACAGAAGTATTTAGACATGTATTCATTTCAACTGGAGAGCATGTGAATATAAAACATACATGCAATATTTTTGCCTATACGGCTTATAAGGGAGAAAATGCCAAGACTTCTGGATCATACTAGAAGGAAAGTTAGTAGAAAATAAATAAATCATTTAGGAGTACTACCATTATTTTAGCTTTAAAGTATAAATTTGTTTTTCTTCTTGAAGTTATATGAATTTGGCTTTCTTTGTACATACAGTGTTGACAAATTGATCTTTCATATTGTTTTCCATGTCAAGACTATAATTCTATCTAGTCTTTTTAAAATATGTTTGAGAAACACCTCAGATCAGGATTAAAGCATGTTAGTGAACAAGTGTCCTTTTCTTGTTCAAATCAGAAATGACCGCGCTTTGGATTTTAAAGTGATCATCAAAAAACCCCCAAACTTGTTTGAGAGCTAACAATCAGAAGTCACTCTTTGGGAGGATTCATCCTTCAGGAGGGCCTACTTCATCTTAAGTTCTTTCAAAATTATTTTTGGTGACCATGAGAACGAATTGCATGTAGCCCCTGTGTTATGTCTGTATTCAAATTAACCATCCATTTCACAGTTGGACATGTCCCTGAAAACTTCTAATGTGGTATCTAAAGTGCCGTCTTCTTCCTTTTATCAGAGCAGCACCTAGTATTTTAAGCCAGAGAAAACAGTCCCTTCGTTTTCAGAGCAGACATGTAATAAAGCTGTACCCTTTGATTATTCTCCAGTGCAATTCCTTTAGTTTCCCAGAGCTTTAACTATAATGCAGATAGTCCTGAGATTAAATGTGTGTGCTTGCACAATCTTTACTGGTTCATTTAAGTCTTCCTTCAAAGCATTTTACAATTTTCAAAGGCCAACACCAATCCAATTGGCTGCTTAAAATGCAGCCTATTACAAAAGCAAAGCTATAAGCTCCTGACAAAAACATTCAGCCTTTCATACTAATCACAGATAAAGTGGATTTGGCAAAAGATAATTAGAGACGTCTAGAAGACTTCTGTATTCTGATGAAATCTGAATGCTTTCTCCAATACAACTTAAATATTTAATACTAAATAAAACCAGGATAAAGTGGTGAGACACATAATGCTTAAGAAAATAGTTATTACTTTGGAAAAAAATCAAAAGGAAGATTGGTTTCAGTAAACTGAGCTGCAGTAGGAAGTTGTTCATGACACCATAAAGCAGGAAGCGTATGTTTGGTTCATCATCAGACCGGTGGAGGAATGAATTAAGAAGGGCTAACAAATCCATATACACACACTTTTAAAACATAATCTCCATCTACTTGTAAAGGAGTAATTTGTACCCAACCAGAGAATATGATGCAGGACAACTTATCTGGAATAAACTATCCTCCCAGAACCCTGTTTTCATATAACAAAGAAAAAAATAGAAAGTAAATTCAACTGCAAAATAAATGAGACATCAAAGCACGTTGCTCTCAATAACATTCTTTAAGTGTCATATCTTGGCCCGTATCCCAGGATACCCTTGGAAATGACACATTGCATCTCAATGGGATTCTTTCAACAAAATATTTTAATAAATAAATTCAGGTTTTATTCTAACTTATTTGATTAAATAAAGCTCTGTGGGCATTATGTGCAACAGATGTCAGAGCCTGATGGGCTTTTGTTCCAATTCCTAATTATTTGTGAAATTGCCATTTATGAATGCTATCACATAATAAGACCAATAAATAATCCATCTAAAAGGCGTAAGTATGATTCCATTCTGAAATGGCAAAAATCAAAGTTTTAAAACAATATCAGGTTTCAAGGACGGTTCACAAAATAAAAAGCTCAAGTGTTCTGCCCTACCTAATGTAAAGGACAAAGCTGCAACCTTGTTTTTTACCTACTGAAACCCAAATATGAAGTGAATAACACAATCTTTTGCCAGGTATAAATCCATAGTCTCACCACCATTAGTGAGAAACATAGACTAAGAAAGTCGGTTGTTCACAATTTACCTAATTTCCCCATTTTGAGGATAATAGTTTCAATAGTTTCCTCTTTTCCAAGAGGTATTTTCAGATAGAGTTCTAAAAACACAGGCGCTCAGATTATAGAACACTTCCTAGCTTTCACAAGGTTATTTTTACCAATCCCACATGCAGGCCATGACCACGCTACTGTCTCTAGACCACATAAAACTTCGGCACTCTTCAGACAGAACAGGTTTAATTCAAAACCAGCTGGAAGCAGTGGGAAGACTTTTCTTGATTTCAGTGACTGTAAGAGAATAAAAATACCCACTAGTTTTGCATAGTATTGTAAATACTAAAAGATGAAATTCCTAAAGTTGTAAAAACAAGATGCCTCTAACCTGGCTACCAGAAACCTGTATTTAGAAATTT